CTAGTAACATGATACTCATAAATATATATATATATATATATATATATATATATATAATCGTACATATTTTAAATCGGTTATAAATATTTTTAACCAACATAAAAATTGAAAAAATGAATGTTATGCTATTTGTTGTAAAACATAAAAGTAAATAACAAAAATAGATAACGATAGATATTGTTTTACAAAGATGAATGTAACCTTCATTTTTTTTGACGCTATTGTAGTTCCAACTTGAAAATTATTGTAAAATTACTGTAAATGTTTCGCTTATTATTATTTTTTTTTTTACTTGTTCTACAAGCATATAATTTTTTTTATAGAAATATTGTTTTTAATTTATAGTAAATGCATCGCAATGTCTTTTTTTACTTGGAAAGGAAGCAACCGTTCCGAAAATATTGAACATACTGGACACAATTTACAAGATGGTCTTTTTCAAATCGCATCTCAAGCTTGTCATATTTTAGTACAAGTAAGTTTAATAGAATTAAATAATTCGAGAATTTCTTTTGTTTCTATTTTTTTATTTTTAAATTTATTTATTTGTAAATTTATGTGTATACGCTTATGTATATATATTTGAAATATTTTTTCTTTTGTTATATATTCCATTTATTAACTAATTTTTTAATTATTTTAATTAATTATCTTGTGCATAATTTTATTAATTGATAAAATTTGATTTAAAAGGTAAATAATACGCATAATATTTCGTACGGTGGAAACAATAATGTAAAGAATATTGCATATTCCAAATGTTTAAAGAGTGATAAAGATTCAACACGATTGGCAGCTTCTTCCACGACTAAAGGAACTACCACAGTCAAATCTTATTCAAAATATATGAAAGATCAAGACAAAGATCAGGATATTGTCGTTCTATTACCACATCGTAAAAACAGAACACCTCTTATTAAACATAAATTATCTGTATGTATAATTACGTAAGCTTTCCTTTTTCTTTTATTTCAAACACTTTTATTCTGTAAGCAAAATAAAATTTTATCACAGACAGTTTCGGAAAATGCTAGATTAGAATTGAATTCATCAAAATATACCAGCGGTAGTGAAAATAATGGTAATTCTGCTGGTAATAATATCGTATCCGATGATGATTTCGAATTATGGGATCATTCTGGTTTTATGTTGAGAAACGATGCAGATGATCCAATAATGAATGGGAAGTTAGTATATATTTTTATTATAAATTTCAATTTTAATAAAATATAAAGAACAATTGATAAAAAAAAAAAGAAATGATTTATTACTTATGTCAATATTATATGTTATCGAAACAGATGGGGAGGTGCTCAAGGATGGTGTAAGCCAAGTTGCATTCCAATCACAGTTATATTAATTTTGATTGTGCTAGTTGTTTTATTACCATTATTAGATCATGCAGCAGATAAATATGCATTAAATGATACGGATTTAGATATTGATTCTAATTGCATGGAAGGCTGTAATTTATCTTTTGTTGAAACTTTACCAGTAGGCATGAATTATATAAATAACACTGTTTTCCTTGATAATACTTATGATTCCTGGATCAAACTTATTTCATTAGCACGACAAAAAATAGAAATAGCATCGTTTTATTGGACTATGAAGAGAGAAGATGTATATTCAGATGATACTGCAAAACAAGTAAGAAACTGAATAAAGAGTAAATAAATAGAGTTTAAACTTAAAGATTGTATTTTTTTTTCAATTATATGTTCTAGGGCGAAGAAATTTTTCGTTTGCTTCTCCAAGCGGGAAGAGATCGAAAGATTTTGTTGAAAATAACGCAAAATATGCCATCACAAATTAGTCCGAACATTAATACAGAAATTTTGATGAAAAAAGCGCACGCTAAGGTAACATTGGATTGTTAAAAAAAAAAAGATACATTCCAAAGTAGATATACACGCTATGATATTATGTTTAATAATATATGTTTATTAATGTTTAATAATAAGATACATCTTGACACTTTACAACAATTTATCTAAATGTTGTTATATAAATATTGATAAAATTTCGATAGGTTAAAAATTTAAACTTCGCGGGATTATTCGGAGGAGGAGTACTTCACTCAAAATTATGGCTTATTGACAGAACACATCTATATGTAGGTTCCGCGAATATGGACTGGCGTTCACTTACACAAGTAAAAGAGCTTGGTTTAACCATTTTAAATTGCAGTTGCCTGGCAAACGATTATGCCAAGATTTTCGATGTAAGTCAGTTACATCGAAATTATATTTTTTTTTAATACTTTCGTATATTAATATTTTAAAATTAAAACTAAAATTTTTACAATATATTATAGATTTATTGGACAGTAGGTGAAAATGGTAAAATACCATCTGTTTGGCCAGACATTTTTAATACAAAGATCAACTTAAAGAATCCAATAAACTTTACTTATATGAACAATAAATATAAAGCATTTGTCGCTGTAAGTGTGATATTTCTATGAAAATAGTACTCAGTATGAAATCTAATTTTAAATAAAAAAAAAAAAATAATATTTGTACTATACAACTATGTATTTTAGAGTTCACCTCCACCATTTTCGCCCAAAGATAGAACCAATGATGTGGATGCTATTCTTTATTGTATCGAAAGAGCAGAGAAATTTATTTATATTTCTGTAATGGATTATTTTCCATTAACTGTATATACACCTAAAATAAAGTACGTATTTATCAATATAGTTACTGATATATTTGTTAATTTATTTTTTATTTATATTTTATTTATATTAATAAATATGAGTACATAGAATTGAATGTATGCATGTATAATATTTTATATGTATTATACTCACAGAATTAATAAAATTAAATTTTCATTCAAAAATTGCTGATATTTAAACTATTATAACTTTATAAAAAATAATCATACAACATAATTTATTTAAAATTATTTTAAACTAAAACTAAATTTTAAACGAATGTAAAATCAAAAATAAATATTCTTTTTTTATAAATATTATTTTTATATATCATTCATTAAAAATTTATTTAAAAATTATTTATAATAAAACGTGTAAAATATTAAGTCCAAATATTTGTAATGAAATTACAAATTGCGATTTCATTTTATTTTTTTTATTTCAAATTTATAATCGCATTAATATCGTAATAAATCGTATTAATAATATGTATTAATAATTTAGTTAAATAATTAAATTAATTAAATAAGTTGTATATATATATT